AGAAAATAGAAAGATATCCCCCTTTGCTCCTGCGGAGGAAGAATCAACATAGTGAAAATGGCCCTACTTCCAAAAATGCTATATAGATTCAATGCAATCCCATTTGAAATTCCAGCAACATACTTCATGGACCTTGAGAAAACAATCCAAAAATTCATTTGCAACAAGTAGAGACCTAGAATAGCAAAACCAATTCTAGGCAACAGAGACATGGCAGGGGGTAGCACAACCCCCAACTTGAAACTATACAACAAAGCTACTGTGATAAAACAGCATGGTGCTGGCAAAGAAACAGACCTGAGGACCAGTGGAACAGATTAGAAGATGCAGAAACAATTCCAGACACACTCGGCCACCTCTTGTTTGACAAAGGGACCAAACACCCTCACTGGAGGAAAGATAGCCTCTTTAATAAATGGTGCTGGAAAAATTGGGTTTCAACTTGGCAAAGATTAAAACTAGACATACATCTCTCATCATGCACTCAACTAAAATAAAAATGGATTAAATATCTAAATAGTAAAACAGAAACGCTGAACCAGCTGGAATAGAATTTAGGTAGAAGTCTTGAAGACATTGGTGTAGGAAAAGATTTTATGAACAAGACCTCAGTTGCCTATGAACTAGCACAAACAATCAACAAATGGAATCTCTTCTTATTAAAAAGCTTCTACACAGCAAGAGAAACCACCAACAGTGTGAAGAGACAACCCCCAATGTGGGAAAAAATCTTCACCTGTTGTTCCTCAGACAAAAGCCTACAATCTAGAACCTATAAAGAATTTAAAAAAATCAGACCTCTCAAATTTAAAGACCCAATCCAAATATGGGCATCTGAAATGAACAGATATTTCTCAAAGAAGTAGAAATAGCAAATAAACATATGAAAAAGTGTTGAACATCACCAGTCATTCAAGAGATGCAAAAGAAAACGACGCTGAGATTCCATCTCATCCCAGAAAGAATGGCTGCTATCATGAAATCAACCAATAACAAAGGCTGGCAGGGCTGTGGGGAAAGAGGAGCCCTGCTCCACTGCTGGTGAGAGTGTAGACTGGTGTAACTACTGTGGAAATCAGTATGGAGACATCTCAAAGAACTAGGACTGGAAGTCCCATTTGACCTAGCTATTCCCCTGCTGGGGATCTTCCCCAAAGAATTAAAAGAATCATACCACAGTGATATGGATGCATCCATGTTCATAGCAGCACAATGTGTAATAGCTGAAACTTGGAAGCAGCCCAATTGGCCATCAACTGGATACTGGATAAAGACTATGTGGTTTGTTTTATTTGTTATAAAATGGAGTGCTACTGAGCCATAAAAAATGAGAAATTGGAGACTTTTATAGCTAAATGTATGCACATTGAGGTGATACTCTTAAGTGAAATAAATAGGTCACACATGTGTAAATACTGAACAGTTTCTCTAGTGCAAGAAACTGAACGTGTTCATATGGAGTTAAAGGTATAATAGATAATGTGAAATCAGAAGAAAAGGTGCAAAAGGGAAGGAGAAGTGGGAGGGGTAGGGGCAAGGAAAGAAGTCAATGGAATTAATATGAGAAAATGAAAAAATGGAAACAAAGTCTTTGTAAATAGGGAGGGATGGAGTGGTTGTAGAGAGGGCTGGGAAATGGAGAAAAAATAAGAACCAAGAGAAATTATGTAAGGCTTCAAATTTCCAATGATGAATGTCATTATATTGTATACCAATAAAATTCAGGGCAGCATAGCATATATTTCTTGGGCAGCACACAACAATGGCAATGTTGGGTGCTAAAGACACACTGAGTTGTTATTTTCCATTTACCCCCAGAACTCTCAAGCTTCATTCTCTGACCTCCCCTTCCATGGCCTGACATCAATGGAGTGTAGTGAAAGGCTTCTATGCCAGCTGGTGTCTGGCTAGATCTGAGCACTGGAAAAGATCAGAGAGTGGGGAGAATGTGAGATTTAGATTTTCTTCTCCTGTCTCCTTCCGTAGTGTACTTAGGTTAATTTGTGGTACCTGAAGCCGCAACTCTTATCAGACAGCCCATCACACACAGCAACAGTTCTTGCTGGGTTCCAATAACACTGTAACTTCTCACTCCTTCAGTCTTAGGGTTGATGATGGCTCCCCACTATTTAGTCTTCCTATGCTTAACTTCACTTTCAGATTCCCTTAACCCTATTCACACCACCAAAAGTGTTTTCATTAAGCTCATGTCAACTAAACTCCGTGAATATTCCATCTGTTTCTTCCCAGGACATTGATATACACACTCATTTTCACACATTCTATTCTGCAGAATTCCAAAAAGTTTCTTAACCTGAGAAAAAAGAAAAGAGATCACCTGATCAAATTTATTTCTCTAAAGAAAATGATCTGCCTTTTCCTAAACTTGTTACATATTCTCTGCATGCTGTGTTTTCCTAAATTAAGGTTACATTACTGAGTCTATGCAATAAAAGTGAGGTTTCAGCCAGTTCCAGCTTTATTTTAGCTGTTCTTAGTCATCTTTTTTTAGGGAAAGGGAATGCTACAATCCCAATTACATTCTTTCTCTCCTAGTAAGGTATGTTCAACTTGGTTTATCTTAAAAACTTAATCCACTTCCTTGAGTAAGATATTACTTGACATGAACTCAGTCACCAGTGTCTTTTTATCTGTTATTATTCTTGTATTCCTCACTTTGCTGACAGGAACCACCCACATACCAGAGTTGTGATCCCAAAGTTTTCACTTGCCCTTACCTATATATGTCCATTAGACACTGAATTCTACAGAACTTACTTCCTAAATATAGGTTGAGTAGAAATCCTTGGGACAAGAAATGTTTCTGATTTCATAGTTTTGGGGGATCTGGGAATATTTACATAGACTTTACAAACTGAGCATTCCTAATCCAAAACTATAAAATCTAAAATGCTCTGAAACTTTGTGAGCACCAACATGACACTTAAATAGTTTTGGATTTTGGAGCATTTAAGCTTTCACATTTTCAGATTAGGTATGCTCAAGCTGTATCTTCCTTCAAAACCATCTGTCTATTCCAGTACCACAGTCACTACCTTAGTTCAGGACTTGATCTTTTACACCTAGATTATGAAAATATCTCTAGTCTCTCTCTGTTCACTTTCATTCTTATTACTATACCCAAATTGATCTTTGGAAAAACACAGAAATGTTCATGTCCCTTCCCTTTCAATGGCCTTTCTTTAGGATAAAACCCAAATTCTTTCCTTGGGCTAGGATATCTACTGCTTCCCTTTTTATTTTAAGCTTTTGTTACGTCCTTTTTTACACCTGTTTGTCATCTTCATGTTGTCCCTGTGCCCCTGCTTACACTGCTCTTTTCCTTGTACACTCTTTACCTTTGCTAACTAATGCCCCTTTTTCATCTCTCAGATCCATCCTAGGTAACATAATTTCTGGAAAACTTTCCCATGAAGCCCATCACCCCTTAGTTGCTTGTATGGTCTCTCTATGATCCTTTAGTTCCTCTTCTTTATTTTCCTAGCACCTAAGCCATTCTGGCAATTATTTATCTGTTTATCAATACATTATTACTATCTCTTTAGAGTGGAAAACCTCATCCTTTTAGCCCTAGTACTTAACACAGAATGTGACATATAGTAAGATATTCAAGAAATAGTTACTGAATGAGTGACTAAATGAATGGATGAACTACAAATCCAGTACAATGTATGCTTGAATTCACTTATGTACCCTAAAGTCAATGTAAGAATCTTGACTCTTTGAAGGATGGCATATCATTCATGAAGTCAGTTTTTTTCTTTTCTCTCCCTGTAGGCAGGGCTGTACCTAAATCATGCAGGAAATATTAAGAATAGAACATGAGCTGGCCTTTTGAGTCATAGGCCTTTCACACTCCCCAAAATTGTAGATATGAATCAATATATCTGGCCTGAATTAACTGGGGGGAAGCAGTGAGAATAATTTTGCCCCAATGAGACACCAAGTTCTATACCATCCATCAGCTTTGAGTACAGATTGGATAGAACCCAGGACTCAAAATGCACCAGCCTTAGGTGACATCAGGACTGTGCTCTTTCATGTCTAACAACCCAGATCGAGGACAGATCATTTGATAAACAGTCATTGAAACAGGCAGAGAAGCTTGTATCAACACCAGGGGTGACTATAGGGGCAAGATACCACTGCAGATCTCCTAGTCAATTGTAATGATCTCTGATAGAAATTTCAATAAGGATCCAGTAGAAACATCTTTGTCATTATCACTGTGAATTCATGTTTGAGTACACACGTCTCTTCTCAGAACATTTGATGAACACCATTTCCATATCTAAAAGAGATTAAGAAACACTTGCTACTATATTTTGATGCTAGTCACCTAATCAGAACAAAAATTTAATTCCTATGAATATTTTAAATCATAATGTAGTAGGGGCTTCAGATTATATGCAAGCATCCATGATTAATGTTTTCCCTACTGGGAGTTATCCTCCTGTCAAGCTTCCCAACAACTGTGAAGGAAAAAAACCAGGAGAAGATGTAGTCCTAAGAAAGTGATAAATATTTGAGTGAGCATCTCCAGAGATGTTTGGAGGTGGCAATAAATACTAACGGGAGTGGTGGGAACCAGTCCTGTCTATCTCATGGCCCCTCCCTGTACAACTGTTCTGACTTGGCCTTTAAGCTTTAAGGGAAGTGGAGCACATAGCTGTAGAACTCCAAAGAGCTGCTTAGTTATGCAGTTACCTTTCAGATGAGGCATTGTTTTGCATAAAGGAGCACATTTGGACTTGGGTATTCTTGGACATTCACTGATTGCTTAAATGTTTGAGAGAATCATTGTTCTAGGTGAATTTTGAAAATAGCCACTGACCCACTGGCTTACAGGAAAGTGAAAATGAATGACAGGTAGGTTAAAAGCATGAAAATAATAGGCTGAATTACTGGCTGGTGGGTGTCAACTTTCCTAGTCTTGTCTTTTCTAGATTCCCTTTTTTTCCCTTTCCCACCCTCTCCAATTATCTTCTTTCAAAGCTCAAGTTTTGAGGCAGTGGTCGAGCTCCATGGCATAAGAATTGGTGTTCTTCATGATGCTCTCCACCAACACAACAGGCTTGGGATTTCTTCCAGCAAAGCAAGACAGCCAAGTACAGATCAACATTGCTACAGCTGCTCCACCTCCAGCACAGTAGTAGGCCCAGCCAAGCCGACAGGTACCTGTGGAAACAGGGATGCAGACATTGGGATTTGGGTCTCATATATGTTCTTTCATAATAAACTATAGAAATGATCTCTGAAAGTGCAGTCTTCACACTTTCTCTTTAAGATATTATAGTTAGGGAATAAACAGGAGATAATGAATGCAACTGGGTTTTCCATTTGCTCCTTTGGTACTGCTGGTCTCTGTTTTAGCAAAAGGTTATATGATTTTATTTTCCTGTTAAAGGGGAACCTGGGGGTGATGTGGGTAGTGATAGTGTAACAGTGCTAATAATAATAATGACAAGAACAAGTTGACTAAGTGTAAAACATTATGCTAAGCTCTTTATATATTGATCATTACTGTAACTACATGACATAGGTTTTATTATCCTTGTTTTACAAAAGATGAGGCAACTGAGGCACAGGTTAATTGTGAAAAATCATGCTGCAAGAAAATAGTACAGTTAGGCTATAAATCCTAATGCATGATGATCCCCACATCTCCACACTTTTAACCAAAGAAGTTGTCTTAGTTATTTTTTCTCATTTCTGAGACAAAATAGCCAACACCCACAAGTTGGAGGAAAGGTTTATTTCAGCTCACAATTTGTAAAATTTTAGTCCATAGTCAGCTGACTCCAAGCCAGGGTGGCGTGGCAGAAGAACATTTCAGAGGAAAAACAGTTCATGGTATGCAGGCAGAAGGCAGCAGCAGCAAGCAGCAAGCCTGCCTGCCTTTCCCTTTTATCTCATCCAGGTTACAAGCCTTTTGGGTAGTGCTACCCACACCTAGGGTGGGGCTTCTCTCTTCAGTAAATCCATTCAGCCACACCTACAACTATGCTAATTCCAATCAGTGGACTAATTAGTACCACACATCCCTAATCCCAGTGTCACACTCCCTAGATCCAGCAAGCTCCAAAAAGCCCCATCTAGGAGTGCATGAGGCTTTGGGGTTATATCTAGATACAAGACATAACAGTGGTATACTATTGAACATAGGCTGCTTTCAATAGGCCATATCCTGCATCATCAGAAGATCAGACAGGCAAAATCAAACTCACTCCCTCTTAATACATGTGTCTGTCCCAACTTACCCATTCAAAACTCGGGAAATGCAAATTAGAGCAAAAACCAACCTTCTAAGTAGATAGTTTTACTTTCAAGTGTGATGGGAAATGTCATCTGCTCAAACACATCCATCCCATCACTTACTATTTTACAAAAAATAGATGCCTTTGTTTGGAAGGTTTGCAGTTTTTGTGCATTCTTTTAAAAATAGTTAATGCTCAGAGAAAAAAGAAGAGCTGTTATTTTATGAGGTATCAAAATAAATAACTGCTAACATAATGTGCTTAAGCAAACAGGACTCCAGAAATTGTGGTAGGAGCACAATTACCCAAAATTGCAGAGAAATCCTCAGAAGACTAGGCAGCAACCTTCACCTCCCTCACAACTTCGCAGAAGGCTAGTAGTCTATACTATGCTCAGTTGAGGATGTCAATACTGATATTTGTGATTATTATTTAAAGGCTAAATCAAATCAAATAACCAATTATTTTTGTTTACATGGTACCCAGTGAACCTTAATTTTCCTCACTTTAATTGACTAGTTAATGGAGCATAGTCTAAGATGGCTCCAAGTTAGACTGCTTTACTTTTACATTCATGTCTAATTCATCCCAAGATTCCCTCATTAAACTGTCTTTCTACTACCAAGACATTACTCATACTGTCTCTCCTGCTAGAAACCCCTCCTCTTCTATTCACCAATTCATATCTTCTGCAAATTATTGTTTGGGACTTGGTACCTGCCAGAAACTTTCCCTGATTCTCTCCAGTGGGCTTAAGTCACCTTAACCAAGCAGCTAAGTAGGAATTCATCTGTGTACAACATACACAGCTGTATGTGTTGGGTAAAAAATTGTGAGGAAGACTTGTATTTCACATATTTCTCATCTGCCCTTTCCCTTTTCCAAATTGTTGGCTCAATAGTACAGGTGAACTTGTTTCTTTTCTCCATAGTGTTTCATATGCTGTGTCCAGAGTGGGTACAAATTCAACAAATATGATATGGCCTAACAGTATTTTGAAGCTGGATACCCTTGCATTTTCAACTTTCAACACCCTAAAATGCAGTTTAAATTTTGAATTAAATATGCAAAACTAGCTAAAAGTAGTATTCTGTTTGTTTCTAGAATGCCCATGGTCCTTTTCACCATAAGCCCTATTCACATTGCCTTCCTTCTTCCTGAAATGCTCATTGCATATGTATGTGTATAAATATATTTCCCATTACTCTCTTTGCTTAGTCCAAGTTCAGTGGTTCTTATGAGCTCACCTTAATCATTAATTCCTCCATGAAAACTTCCCTGATCTTCTTAAACCAAATTCCCTGCTCGGTATCATGTAACTTTATAGTACCATGCATCCTGACTTCTGCTCTTGAATGGGTGACTCTTTCATCCCCTCCTATAACAAATGTCAAGCATTAGTCCTTTTAAGGAGACAGTACTTTACCAATAGACCTGAGTAATCATATAATATTCCTATACTTCTGTGACCCCATCCAAAATCACAGTGAAAGCCAGACTACAACAGTTATGAAAACAATTTAAACTTTGGAGCGGGGGTAAAATTTAAAGAGAAGCCTCCTTAGAGAAAGAAATCCACTTATCTCTAAAGTGGCCTAGGAATTAAAAACTTTGGTGAACTCTGGGAAGAATATTCAGAAGAATACCAAATTGAAGTTATCAGTCAATAGATCTATATACCCCCCCTTTTTTTCAGTACTGAAGATTGAACTCAGAACTTTTACACTAAGCTACATCTCTAGCCCTTTCTTTCTTTCTTTCTTTCTTTCTTCCTTCCTTCCTTCCTTCCTTTCTTTCTTTCATTTTGAGACAGTCTCATTCACTCAGGGTGGATTTGAACTTCCAATTCTCCTGTCTCAGCCTCCCAGAGTGCTAGGATTGCAGGTGTGTGAAATCTATATCCCCCTTGTCACATTTACCACTAAAACACACACACACACACACACACACTCATTTACACATTAAAATTAGAAAGTTTCATACAATGCTTTGAAGATTCACAGAGTGAAAATTCTGAAGACTGGCAAACCTTCACCTTCAACCCCCCCCCCCTTAAGCTTCAGACTTTATTGCACTAAATTTAGAGTGGGATGTGAAGCTCAGGAATAGCCCTACAAACTATCTCAGAAGCAGATAGCTCAAGGCAGGAACCTAGACCTAGTCTCTTGGGGGTGGGGGTGGGGGTGTAAGACAAGGTCTCGCTATGTAGTTCAGGCTGGTCTGGAACTCACTATGTATCCCAGGCTGGCCTGGAACTCTTGGTGATCTTCTTGCCTCAGCCTCCCAAGTGCTGGGATTACACGTGTGCACCACTACACCCAGCCAGATCAAGTCTCTTCACTTCCAATCTGTTGCTCTGCCCCCTGCTGGTTTTCTCATATCCCACTGAAACATTTTTTCTCCTAACAGGACCCTTGATTCATAAACTCTCCTCAGGAGGCTCCTAAATCATTTTTTCATAGCCTCAGCTAAGCTTATCTAGCCCCTCAATCAAATCTGTTCTCAAATTACAGAGAAGTAGGAGCCAGCTCTGAGGTGAACCCAGTCAAGCCAGTTCTCATTCCTCAGAACATTCATAATCTAGTCTAGATCAGACATCAGAACTCTCACTCTGTTTCTACAGTGGCCTGTCAAGTCATCCCTTCATTACAGTAGCAGGGATATTTCTATTAGGTACATGCACCCTGATACAAGGAAAAGATTTGTTTCTCTAAACAAAAGGAATAATTGTGTGGCATGCTGTTACCCCCAAAGCTCTAGGAGGGAAGAAAGCTCACAGAATGGGCAGCTCCAGAGCAAAGAGCTAAGAAAGGCCTCGGTAAACCTTATTGAAGTCAGAACCAGTCACCACTGGGCTAGGAATGACCAGCAAAGTGATCTTATTGCCACCTCAAGTGCATCCTGAATTTCCTCTCACAGACACTCCTGTCAGGCCACTGAATAGCATCTAAGCTTCAGCACATACAGGAGGTTAAAGAGAAACAGAGAAAATATACCTTTTATTCACCCCTTCCCATAGCCCTGCCTGTTATGTGCTTGGTGAAACAGACAAGTTATATCATTGCCGTTACAAAAAGGTAGAGAAAAGCAAAGTAGACCTTTGAGATCTACTTTGAGAACCACCATCAGTACTCAGTTACACCACAGAAAGCTTGGACACTTGTTTGATGGCCTACAGAGGTATCCTTTTATGGGAAGATTAAAAAAAATAGGGAGCAGTAGCAACTAGCTGCCACTTTTTGCCTCTGATCACCTTTTGTGAAGTCCCACGGATCATCACCAATCTCTAAATTTTATTCCTAGAAGTACGGTTGATCCTTATATTCTTTTGACAAATTTTACTGAGTACCTACTATGTGCCGGGTACTTTGAATGCACAATGTCATTTGATTCTCATTACTGTCATAATTATTTTCATTTATTGTGGAGGAAAATGATTTTCCACTTATGGGAGATTGAAAGTATGTTGAGACCAGAAAGAGTAAATGAGGACAGGTGTGGTGGCACATGCCTGTAATCCCAGCACTTGGGAAGCAGAGGCGGGAGGATTGCCATGAGTTCAAGCCCAGCCTGGACTACATGGTGAGAACTTGTGTTAAAAAAAAATAATGAAAACAATAAAAGAAAGAAAAGTAAATGAAACCCAAATGACTTGGCCAAGTGTCAGAGTTGAGACTTGAAGATCAGGTCTAATTTAAAGCTCAATATTCAAAACTCAAAGCTCAATGCAAACCATTTCAATTAAGATGGAAGAACAAAACCAAGGATAAAAATTAGTATGGTCTAAGTTTTATGGGAAAGCATGATTCCCTCATCCAATCATATTACCTTTCTGGGCCTCATTTTCCTTTTCTTTAAATTGAAGAAAGGTTAAGTGGAAAGACGTTTCAAAAAGACCACTCCAATTCAAGTTTTCCATTA